AACCCCGCAACATTCACTCCACCAACCAGATACACACTCACTAAGCTTTAACCCCGCAACATTCACTCCACCAACCAGATTACACACTCACTAAGCTTTAACCCTGCTAGATTCACTCCACCAACCAGATACACACTCACTAAGCTTTAACCCTGCTAGATTCACTCCACCAACCAGATACACACTCACTAAGCTTTAACCCTGCCTAGATTCACTCCACCAACCAGATACACACTCACTAAGCTTTAACCCCGCAACATTCACTCCACCAACCAGATACACACTCACTAAGCTTTAACCCTGCAACATTCACTCCACCAACCAGATACACACTCACTAAGCTTTAACCCCGCAACATTCACTCCACCAACCAGATACACTCTCACTAAGCTTTAAACCTGCAACATTCACTCCACCAACCAGATACACACTCACTAAGCTTTAACCCCGCAACATTCACTCCACCAACCAGATACACACTCACTAAGCTTTAACCCCGCAACATTCACTCCACCAACCAGATACACACTCACTAAGCTTTAACCCCGCAACATTCACTCCACCAACCAGATACACACTCACTAAGCTTTAACCCTGCTAGATTCACTCCACCAACCAGATACACACTCACTAAGCTTTAAACCCCGCAACATTCACTCCACCAACCAGATACACACTCACTAAGCTTTAACCTGCAACATTCACTCCACCAACCAGATACACACTCACTAAGCTTTAAACCTGCAAACATTCACTCCACCAACCAGATACACAATCACTAAGCTTTAACCCCGCAACATTCACTCCACCAACCAGATACACACTCACTAAGCTTTAAACCTGCAACATTCACTCCACCAACCAGATACACACTCACTAAGCTTTAACCCCGCAACATTCACTCCACCAACCAGATACACACTCACTAAGCTTTAACCCTGCTAGATTCACTCCACCAACCAGATACACACTCACTAAGCTTTAAACCTGCAACATTCACTCCACCAACCAGATACACACTCACTAAGCTTTAACCCCCGCAACATTCACTCCACCAACCAGATACACACTCACTAAGCTTTAAACCTGCAACATTCACTCCACCAACCAGATACACACTCACTAAGCTTTAAACCTGCAACATTCACTCCACCAACCAGATACACACTCACTAAGCTTTAACCCCGCAACATTCACTCCACCAACCAGATACACACTCACTAAGCTTTAACCCTGCTAGATTCACTCCACCAACCAGATACACACTCACTAAGCTTTAACCCCGCAACATTCACTCCACCAACCAGATACACACTCACTAAGCTTTAAACCTGCAACATTCACTCCACCAACCAGATACACACTCACTAAGCTTTAAACCTGCAACATTCACTCCACCAACCAGATACACACTCACTAAGCTTTAACCCCGCAACATTCACTCCACCAACCAGATACACACTCACTAAGCTTTAAACCTGCAACATTCACTCCACCAACCAGATTACACACTCACTAAGCTTTAACCCCGCAACATTCACTCCACCAACCAGATACACACTCACTAAGCTTTAAACCTGCAACATTCACTCCACCAACCAGATACACACTCACTAGCTTTAAACCTGCTAGATTCACTCCACCAACCAGATACACACTCACTAAGCTTTAACCCTGCTAGATTCACTCCACCAACCAGATACACACTCACTAAGCTTTAACCCCGCAACATTCACTCCACCAACCAGATACACACTCACTAAGCTTTAACCCCGCAAACATTCACTCCACCAACCAGATACACACTCACTAAGCTTTAACCCTGCAACATTCACTCCACCAACCAGATACACACTCACTAAGCTTTAACCCCGCAACATTCACTCCACCAACCAGATACACACTCACTAAGCTTAAACCTGCAACATTCACTCCACCAACCAGATACACACTCACTAAGCTTAACCCCGCAACATTCACTCACCAACCAGATACACACTCACTAAGCTTTAACCCCGCAACATTCACTCCACCAACCAGATACACACTCACTAAGCTTTAACCCTGCTAGATTCACTCCACCAACCAGATACACACTCACTAAGCTTTAACCCTGCTAGATTCACTCCACCAACCAGATACACACTCACTAAGCTTTAACCCCGCAACATTCACTCCACCAACCAGATACACACTCACTAAGCTTTAACCCTGCAACATTCACTCCACCAACCAGATACACACTCACTAAGCTTTAACCCCGCAACATTCACTCCACCAACCAGATACACTCTCACTAAGCTTTAAACCTGCAACATTCACTCCACCAACCAGATACACACTCACTAAGCTTTAACCCCGCAACATTCACTCCACCAACCAGATACACACTCACTAAGCTTTAACCCCGCAACATTCACTCCACCAACCAGATACACACTCACTAAGCTTTAAACCTGCAACATTCACTCCACCAACCAGATACACACTCACTAAGCTTTAACCCTGCTAGATTCACTCCACCAACCAGATACACACTCACTAAGCTTTAACCCCGCAACATTCACTCCACCAACCAGATACACACTCACTAAGCTTTAAACCTGCAACATTCACTCCACCAACCAGATACACACTCACTAAGCTTTAAACCTGCAACATTCACTCCACCAACCAGATACACACTCACTAAGCTTTAACCCCGCAACATTCACTCCACCAACCAGATACACACTCACTAAGCTTTAAACCTGCAACATTCACTCCACCAACCAGATACACACTCACTAAGCTTTAACCCCGCAACATTCACTCCACCAACCAGATACACACTCACTAAGCTTTAAACCTGCAACATTCACTCCACCAACCAGATACACACTCACTAAGCTTTAACCCCGCAACATTCACTCCACCAACCAGATACACACTCACTAAGCTTTAAACCTGCAACATTCACTCCACCAACCAGATACACACTCACTAAGCTTTAAACCTGCTAGATTCACTCCACCAACCAGATACACACTCACTAAGCTTTAACCCCGCAAACATTCACTCCACCAACCAGATACACACTCACTAAGCTTTAACCCTGCTAGATTCACTCCACCAACCAGATACACACTCACTAAGCTTTAACCCCGCAACATTCACTCCACCAACCAGATACACACTCACTAAGCTTTAACCCCGCAACATTCACTCCACCAACCAGATACACACTCACTAAGCTTTAACCCTGCTAGATTCACTCCACCAACCAGATACACACTCACTAAGCTTTAACCCTGCTAGATTCACTCCACCAACAAGAGGGTTGTGAACAGTTTGTGTCATGAACAGTGCTTGTGTCCATAGAAATAGACGTGGTACGCACGCGATCAGGAGGGGGGGAGGGCGATCAAGAGGGGGCGCTCGGGGGGGGCGATCAGGAGGGGGGCGTTCGGGGGGGGGGCGATCAGGAGGGGCACTCAGGAGGGGAGCGTTCATAGCGACGGGTGTGACACACAGAGGAACACAGCATCTCAGAGACATCTTAATAACACACAGAGGAACACAGCATCTCAGAGACATCTTCATAACACACAGAGGAACACAGCATCTCAGAGACATCTTAATAAAACACAGCATCTCAGAGACATCTTCATAACACACAGAGGAACACAGCATCTCAGAGACATCTTCATAACACACAGAGGAACACAGCATCTCAGAGACATCTTCATAACACACAGAGGAACACAGCATCTCAGAGACATCTTCATAACACACAGAGGAACACAGCATCTCAGAGACATCTTCATAACACACAGAGGAACACAGCATCTCAGAGACATCTTCATAAACACACAGAGGAACACAGCATCTCAGAGACATCTTCATAACACACAGAGGAACACAGCATCTCAGAGACATCTTCAATAACACACAGAGGAACACAGCATCTCAGAGACATCTTCATAACACACAGAGGAACACAGCATCTCAGAGACATCTTCATAACACACAGAGGAACACAGCATCTCAGAGACATCTTCATAACACACAGAGGAAACACAGCATCTCAGAGACATCTTCATAACACACAGAGGAACACGCATCTCAGAGACATCTTCATAACACACAGAGGAACACAGCATCTCAGAGACATCTTCATAACACACAGAGGAACACAGCATCTCAGAGACATCTTCATAACACACAGAGGAACACAGCATCTCAGAGACATCTTCATAACACACAGAGGAACACAGCATCTCAGAGACATCTTAATAAAACACAGCATCTCAGAGACATCTTCATAACACACAGAGGAACACAGCATCTCAGAGACATCTTAATAAAACACAGCATCTCAGAGACATCTTCATAACACACAGAGGAACACAGCATCTCAGAGACATCTTCATAACACACAGAGGAACACAGCAAACTTTATTAGGGTAATATTAAAAGTAAGCCATTGTTTACAGGGAAAATACAAACAGAAAAGCAAATGTAAAAAACAGCCTTTTTGATGATCTGTTTTGAGTTTTGGATTAAGAGTTTTGACATTTTACCACAATACTTGTGAAAATAGTCTGAAAGCGATAGAACCCCCCTGTAATGTCGGCCTATATCACATGACAATCACGACACCAGCGTATATTTCTCAAAAGTAACACCAGGCTATCAAAAGGGCCCTCAGTCATCGGTAATGAAACCTGATTGTTTTCAGTGCTTCATTACACATGCATCGCATTCCCCCAAAAGGACTCATAAAAGTATTTCTAATTTCATGTCTCATTTGAGGTTGTAAGTTTCAAACATTTTGGGTAATATACACTGCTACATTTCATGTATGAAAAAAATGTCTGCACTCACGAACTGTAAGTCGCTCTGGATAAGAGCGTCTGCTAAAAATGACTAAAGGAAAAAGTGGGAATAGGGTGGCTAGGGGCCGTGGTGAAAGACTATGCTGTTCTGTTCTGTGTTGTAGGAGTCGGAGGGATCGTAAGGGGCGTAGCGACCGCATCACAGACTGTCAGAACTGGCAGGACCTGGACTCAGAGAACACCGGGAATAAAATAGAGAACATCGAGACGTCAGTCGAGGTGGTGGACGGAAGGCAGAAGGTTGGTTCTCACTCCCTGCACAAAAGTTTACAGCATTTAACAATACTACAAATGTTATCTGAATGTTTAATCATGACAACATTATCATATTATTATATCGTTCTGATCAAGTATCTCAGAGAGAGAGACAGAGGGTTAGATATTTCTCACTATACCAACATTTCAACATTTCCCTGAGAACAAATGTTATCCAAATGTTATCCAAATGTTATCCAAATGTTGAATCATGACCATGTTATTACATCATTTTGATAAAGTTTACAATTAGGATTTAGTAGGTAGGAGATTTATTTTGTTGCTTGCAGTTCTAAATTGAATTGTACACCAATTTACAATCAAAGATTGATGATTTAGTAAAGATTTAGTATCTTAGAGAAAGAACAGGAAGATAGTATCTTAGCCTAGATGGCAAAACAACACTTTATATAAGTGTCCCTAACCCTGAACTGGAATATTTTTACCCAAGTGTCCCAAACAGTGAACTGGGTGACAGTATTTTTACCTAAGTGCAGTGGTGTGAAGTACTTAAGTAAAAATACTTTAAAGTACTACTTAAGTAGTTTTTTGGGGTGTCTGTACTTTACTTTACTGTTTCTATATTTGACAACTTTTACTTCACTACATTCCTAAAGAAAATATTATACTTTTTACTCCAGACATTTTCCCTGACAACCAAAAGTACTCGTTACGTTTTGAATGCTTAGCAGGACAGGAAAATGGTCCACCCACTTATCAAGAGAACATCCCTGGTCATCCCTACTGCCTCTGATCTGGCGGACTCACTAAACACACATGCATCTTTTGTAAATAATGTCTGAGTGTTGGAGTGCGCCCCTGGTTATCCATACATTTTAAAAACAAGAAAATGGTGCGGTCTGCTTTGCCCCTTTACCACAACCTACATGTACATATTACCTCAATTACCTCCACTAACCTGTTCCCCAGCACATTGACTCGGTACCGGTACCCGCTTTATATACTGTAGCCTCGTTATTGTTATTTTATTGTGTTACTTTTTTTTAAACTTTAGTTTATTTACTAAATAATTTCTTAAATCTATTCTTCTTAAAACTGCATTGTTGATTAAGGGCTTGTCAGTAAGCGTTTCACTGTAAGGTCTGCACCTGTTGTATTCACCACATGTGACAAATACATTTGATTAATATAAGGAATTTTAAATGATTTATACTTTTGATACTTAAGTATATTTTAGTAATTACATTTACTTTTGATACTTAAGTATATTTAAAACCAAATACTTTTAGACTTTTACTCAAGTAGTATTTTACTGGGAGACTTTCACTTTTACTTGAGTTGAGTAACTTTCTATGAAGGTATCTATACTTTTACTCAAGTCTGACAATTGGGTACTTTTTCCACCACTGCCTGAGTGTCCCAAACAGTGAACTGTGTAACAGTATTTGTCAATCAGAGAGAAGAGAGGGCAAGTGTTCCATTTCCACATCAGAAATATTTTGAACCCTCTTCCTGAGCACACTTCCTGAGGGGAATGGCAATAAACACCCCCACCCCCCCCCCCCCCACACACACACACAGACACACACACACACACACACACATATAGACGAACGGGCACTCACACACACAAACACACAAATGCAAACGCACACACAGCACACTTCCTGTTGTGGGTCACACCTGTGAGGTCAGTTCCTGTTGTGAGGTAGTGGCGGTCGCGGCAGCGGAAAGATTTGAGTCACGTCAACTTCCACAGAGACCGTGTTCTCATCCACCATCAAAACACAGCCACACCAGGACAACAGGAGCCAGAGTAGCATGGAGTCAGCCAGGACAGCAGGAGCCAGAGTAGCATGGAGTCAGCCAGGACAGCCAGGACAACAGGAGCCAGAGTAGCATGGAATCAGCCAGGACAGCCAGGACAACAGGAGCCAGAGGTAGCATGGAATCAGCCAGGACAGCCAGGACAACAGGAGCCAGAGTAGCATGGAATCAGCCAGGACAGCCAGGACAACAGGAGCCAGAGTAGCATGGAGTCAGCCAGGACAGCCAGGACAACAGGAGCCAGAGTAGCATGGAATCAGCCAGGACAGCCAGGACAACAGGAGCCAGAGTAGCATGGAGTCAGCCAGGACAGCCAGGACAACAGGAGCCATAGTAGCATGGAATCAGCCAGGACAGCCAGGACCAACAGGAGCCAGAGTAGCATGGAGTCAGCCAGGACAGCCAGGACAACAGGAGCCAGAGTAGCATGGAATCAGCCAGGACAGCCAGGACAACAGGAGCCAGAGTAGCATGGAGTCAGCCAGGACAGCCAGGACAACAGGAGCCAGAGTAGCATGGAATCAGCCAGGACAGCCAGGACAACAGGAGCCATAGTAGCATGGAATCAGCCAGGACAGCCAGGACAACAGGAGCCAGAGTAGCATGGAATCAGCCAGGACAGCCAGGACAACAGGAGCCAGAGTAGCATGGAATCAGCCAGGACAGCCAGGACAACAGGAGCCAGAGTAGCATGGAATCAGCCAGGACAGCCAGGACAACAGGAGCCAGAGTAGCATGGAGTCAGCCAGGACAGCCAGGACAACAGGAGCCAGAGTAGCATGGAGTCAGCCAGGACAGCCAGGACAACAGGAGCCAGAGTAGCATGGAATCAGCCAGGACAGCCAGGACAACAGGAGCCAGAGTAGCATGGAGTCAGCCAGGACAGCCAGGACAACAGGAGCCAGAGTAGCATGGAATCAGCCAGGACAACAGGAGCCAGAGTAGCATGGAATCAGCCATGACAGCCGGGACAACAGGAGCCAGAGTAGATACTAGTGGATAGATTCAGTGTGGATTCCAGGTTATGGTTCAAAGTATCAAGTTCTTACAAAAACCCAGTCAGTTGTCTAGTCTAGTAAAAAAGCACTTCAAAGCATAATACACATTTAGAACCCTTCTTCTTTCCCTCTACAGCAGATGTATTTTGTATGAAAGCCATGTCTTCCTCTACAGATATTGAGCAGGCTGGTGATCCAGAACGTTTATATGTTAATATGTTTATATTCTCCTCTCCTCTCCTCTCCTCTCCTCTCCTCTCCTCTCCTCTCCTCTATAGATAGTCAGCAGATTGGTGATCCAGAACGCCAGTGTATCAGTCATGTATAAATGTTCTGCTGACAACAAAGTGGGTAAAGACCAAAGGCTGATATACTTCTATGTGACCAGTGAGTATTACAACTTATTTCCTTCTCTTGGTTTAGCATACAAAGTACTGTACAGTAATATGCACTATATATACATAAATAAATATATCTGATATTTTGGTAATAGTAATAGTAATAGTTTGTGTAGTAGTACAAAAAAAAACAATCCCGTCCCTCTCTCCCCCCAGCTATCCCAGAAGGGTTCAGTGTAGAGCTGGGTCCGTCTGAGGAACCTCTGGAGCAGGAGGAGGTGTCGCTAAGCTGCATCGCTGACAACTACACCTACGAACAGCTCACCTGGTACAGACTGGACCCACAGGTAACAGCTCACCTGGTACAGACTGGACCCACAGTTAACAGCTCACCTGGTATAGATTGAACCCACAGGTAACAGCTCACCTGGTATAGATTGAACCCACAGGTAACAGATCACCTGGTATAGATTGAACCCACAGGTAACAGCTCACCTGGTATAGATTGAACCCACAGGTAACAGCTCACCTGGTATAGATTGAACCCACAGGTAACAGCTCACCTGGGATAGATTGAACCCACAGGTAACAGCTCACCTGGTATAGATTGAACCCACAGGTAACAGCTCACCTGGTATAGATTGAACCCACAGGTAACAGTTCACCTGGGATAGATTGAACCCACAGGTAACAGCTCACCTGGTATAGATTGAACCCACAGGTAACAGCTCACCTGGTATAGATTGAACCCACAGGTAGAGAAAATGGCACATTGAATAAAGAATACAAGCGAAGCTTTGTTCTTGATGCTACAGTAGTTTAATTTGGTTGTGACTGTCAAATTAATATCCCAAATCTGTCTGTGCTGTCTTGAAAATTCCATTGTAAACTCGTTGATGGATTTTGGTAAGACAACACAAAACCTGTCTGGGACCCAGGCTAGTAGAATAGTAGGACAGGACAGGAAGACTGACTTCCCTCCCTTGTCTCTCTCTCTCCAGGCGCTCCAGGATGAGCGTGGTTAACCCCTCCCTTGTCTCTCTCTCTCCAGGCGCTGCAGGATGAGCGTGGTAAACCCCTCCCTTGTCTCTCTCTCTCCAGGCGCTCCAGGATGAGCATGGTAAACCCCTCCCTTGTCTCTCTCTCCAGGCGCTCCAGGATGAGCGTGGTAAACCCCTCCCTTGTCTCTCTCTCCAGGCGCTCCAGGATGAGCGTGGTAAACCCCTCCCTTGTCTCTCTCTCTCCAGGCGCTCCAGGATGAGCGTGGTAAACCCCTCCCTTGTCTCTCTCTCTCCAGGCGCTCCAGGAAGAGCGTGGTAAACCCCTCCCTTGTCTCTCTCTCTCCAGGCGCTCCAGGATGAGCGTGGTAAACCCCTCCCTTGTCTCTCTCTCTCCAGGCGCTCCAGGATGAGCGTGGTAAACCCCTCCCTTGTCTCTCTCTCTCCAGGCGCTCCAGGATGAGCATGGTAAACCCCTCCCTTGTCTCTCTCTCTCCAGGCGCTCCAGGATGAGCGTGGTAAACCCCTCCCTTGTCTCTCTCTCTCCAGGCACTCCAGGATGAGCATGGTAAACCCCTCCCTTGTCTCTCTCTCTCCAGGCGCTCCAGGATGAGCGTGGTTAACCCCTCCCTTGTCTCTCTCTCTCCAGGCGCTCCAGGATGAGCGTGGTAAACCCCTCCCTTGTCTCTCTCTCTCCAGGCGCTCCAGGATGAGCGTGGTAAACCCCTCCTTGTCTCTCTCTCTCCAGGCGCTGCAGGATGAGCGTGGTAAACCCCTCCCTTGTCTCTCTCTCTCCAGGCGCTCCAGGATGAGCGTGGTAAACCCCTCCCTTGTCTCTCTCTCTCCAGGCGCTCCAGGATGAGCGTGGTAAACCCCTCCCTTGTCTCTCTCTCTCCAGGCGCTCCAGGATGAGCGTGGTAAACCCCTCCCTTGTCTCTCTCTCTCCAGGCGCTCCAGGATGAGCGTGGTAAACCCCTCCCTTGTCTCTCTCTCTCCAGGCGCTCCAGGATGAGCGTGGTAAACCCCTGGAGCTGGACTGTCGTAGTGTCCATCTGTACGCTGACCGCCTGGACGGACAACTGACCTATCAGGAGCCGTCTAACAGCTGGGTCCTGGAGATGACTATACCTAGCATCACGCTGCAGGATGAAGGGAACTATGTCTGTGAGGTTCAGAGTAGGAGGAGCCGAGAGAAACACTGTCTACGTAAATACATATCTGTTAAAGGTGAGACGGAGACACACACAGGCACGTCTACAGAAAACAGGGTTCCAAAAGGGTCCTTCGGCTGTCCCCATAGGAGAACCCGTTTTGGATCCAGATAGAACCCTTTTTGGTTTCAGGGAGAACAGTTTTGGGTTCCAAGTAGAACCCTCTGTGGAAAGGGTTCTACCTGGAACCAAACAGGGTTCTACCTGGAACCAAACAGGGTTCTACCTGGAACCAAACAGGGTTCTACCTGGAACCAAACAGGGTTCTACCTGGAACCAAACAGGGTTCTACCTGGAACCAAACAGGGTTCTTCAAAGGGTTCTCCTATGGGGACAGCTAAGAACCCTTATTGGTTCTAAATATAACCTTTATTCTAAGAGTGTAACCAATCAGCCACACACAGGGAGGCAGGCCTCACATCCACCCACCCTGTCATGCTGTAGAATGGCCAGGTTTAGAAACACACACTAGTCCCTACGAAGGGAGGCCCAGTCCTTCAGTCATTTACACACTAATTGCTTCATGCTTCATTTATGTCCAGTCCTGACTCCTTAACCTCGGTCACATGGAATTCTCCACCTCTCTCCCTTCATCTCTCTCTCTCTCTCTCTCTCTCTCCTCTCTCTCTCTCTCTCTCTCTCTCTCTCTCTCTCCTCTCTCTCTCTCTCTCTCTCTCTCTCTCTCCCTCCCTCTCTCTCCCTTTATCTCTCTCCCTCTCTCTCTCTCTCCTCTCTCTCTCTCCTCTCTATCCCCCCCCCCCTCCCCAGCTCTAGAAGCCCCCCGGTACAGACACAACCCGACCAATCAGACAGTGAACGTCAGTGAGTCTCTCCTGATGGAGTGTGATGTAGTGGGAACTCCTTCACCCCACCTCTCCTGGTTCAAAGACAACCAGCCCCTGCACCAAATGTCAGGTAGGTACACACAGACACACACAACACACAACAACACACACAGACACACACAGACACAGACACACAGACACACAGACACACACACACACACAGACACAGACACACACACAGACCTGAGGGAAGTGACATGGTGGTTCCTAAACAGACCTTCTGTACAGTACCGTCTGGGTAAAGGAGTACCTAATGAAGCTGCCCTGTTAGTCACATCTCATCAATCACACATTGATCATGTCACCCTACAGCACATTCCTGGGAGGACATTAACACCTGAACCACACACACACACACACACACTGACAGTCCACACACACACACACACACACACACACACACACACATTGAGTGACAGTCTGGCAAGGGTCCAGACAGCTGGGACATGGGAGGGGAGGGAGGGAGGGAGGGAGGGAGGGGGGGGGACGGAGGGGGGAGGGAGGGAGGGAGGGGGGGCGGGGGAGGGGAGGGAGGGAGGGAGGGAGGGTAGGGAGGGAGGGAGGGAGGGAGGGAGGGAGGGGAGGGGGGGAGGGGAGGGGAGGGAGGGAGGGAGGGGAGGGAGGCGAGGGAGGGAGGGAGGGACGGGCAGGGAGGGAGGGAGGGAGGGAGGGGGGGGAGGGGGAGGGAGGGAGGGAGGGAGGGAGGGAGGGGGGGACGGAGGGAGGGAGGGAGGGAGGGGAGGGAGGATTGGCTGGGCTGACAGTAGGATCAATCTGAGTAGCTGTCAGGTTAGCAGACAAGACTAGTTGGGTGTGTATGTGTATGTTTGTCAGAGTGGTGTACAGTGAGGGAAAAAAGTATTTGATCCCCTGCTGATTTTGTACGTTTGCCCACTGACAAAGAAATGATCAGTCTATAATTTTAATGGTAGGTTTATTTGAACAGTGAGAGACAGAATAACAACAAAAAAATCCAGAAAAACGCATGTCAAAAATGTTATAAATTGATTTGCATTTTAATGAGGGAAATAAGAATTTGACCCCCTCTCAATCAGAAAGATTTCTGGCTCCCAGGTGTCTTTTATACAGGTTAACGAGCTGAGATTAGGAGCACACTCTTAAAGGAAGTGTTCCTAATCTCAGTTTGTTACCTATATAAAAGGCACCTGTCCACAGAAGCAATCAATCAATCAGATTCCAAACTCTCCACCATGGCCAAGACCAAAGAGCTCTCCAAGGATGTCAGGGACAAGATTGTAGACCTACACAAGGCTGGAATGGGCTACAAGACCATCGCCAAGCAGCTTGGTGAGAAGGTGACAACAGTTGGTGTGATTATTCGCAAATGGAAGAAACACAAAAGAACTGTCAATCTTCCTCGGCCTGGTGGAGTTGCAATGATCATGAGAATGGTGAGGAATCAGCCCAGAACTACATGGGAGGATCTTGTCAATGATCTCAAGGCAGCTGGGACCATAGTCACCAAGAAAACAAGGTCCCCCTGCTCAAGAAAGCATATATACATGCCCGTCTGAAGTTTGCCAATGAACATCTGAATGATTCAGAGGAGAACTGGGTGAAAGTGTTGTGGTCAGATGAGACCAAAATGGAGCTCTTTGGCATCAACTCAACTCGCCGTGTTTGGAGGAGGAGGAATGCTGCCTATGACCCCAAGAACACCATCCCCACCGTCAAACATGGAGGTGGAAACATTATGCTTTGGGGGTGTTTTTCTGCTAAGGGGACAGGACAACTTCACAGCATCAAAGAGACGATGGATGGGGCCATGTACCGTCAAATCTTGGGTGAGAACCTCCTTCCCTCAGCCAGGGCATTGAAAATGGGTCGTGAATGGGTATTCCAGCATGACAATGACCCAAAACACACGGCCAAGGCAACAAAGGAGTGGCTCAAGAAGAAGCACATTAAGGTCCTGGAGTGGCCTAGCTAGTCTCCAGACCTTAATCCCATAGAAAATCTGTGGAGGGAGCTGAAGGTTCGAGTTGCCAAACGTCAGCCTCGAAACCTTAATGACATGGAGAAGATCTGCAAAGAGGAGTGGGACAAAATCCCTCCTGAGATGTGTGCAAACCTGGTGGCCAACTATAAGAAACGTATGACCTCTGTGATTGCCAACAAGGGTTTTGCCACCAAGTACTAAGTCATGTTTTGCAATTTCCCTCATTAAAATGCAAATCAATTTATAACATTTTTGACATGTGTTTTTTTCTGGATTGTCTTGTTGTTATTCTGTCTCTCACTGTTCAAATAAACCTACCATTAAAATTATAGACTGATCATGTCTTTGTCAGTGGGCAAACGTACAAAATCAGCGGGGGATCAAATACTTTTTTCCCTCACTGTATGTACTGTATCTAACCCTGTCTATATCACTGTATATGCGCAAGTGCATGCCTATGTGTGTGTTTGTGTCAGTGATTGACAGCTGTGTGTCTGTGTGTGTGTGTGTAGGACTGCAGCTGCAGGACGCCAACAGGACGTTGAGTATCCAGCGTGTCAGTGATTGACAGCTGTGTGTCTGTGTGTGTTGTGTGTGTAGGACTGCATCTGCAGGACGCCAACAGGCGTTGAGTATCCAGCGTGTCAGTGATTGACAGCTGTGGGTCTGTGTGTGTGTGTGTGTGTAGGACTGCGCTGCAGGACGCCAACAGGACGTTGAGTATCCAGCGTGTCAGTGATTGACAGCTGTGTGTCTGTGTGTGTGTGTGTGTGTAGGACTGCAGCTGCAGGACGCCAACAGGACGTTGAGTATCCAGCGTGTCAGTGATTGACAGCTGTGTGTCTGTGTGTGTGTGTGTGTGTAGGACTGCAGCTGCAGGACGCCAACAGGACGTTGAGTATCCAGCGGCTTGTTGGTGTCTGTGAGTGTGCTTGTGTGGTGTGTGTGTAGGACTGCAGCTGCAGGACGCCAACAGGACGTTGAGTATCCAGCGTGTCAGTGATTGACAGCTGTGTGTCTGTGTGTGTGTGTGTGTAGGACTGCAGCTGCAGGACGCCAACAGGACGTTGAGTATCCAGCGTGTCAGTGATTGACAGCTGTGTGTTGTGTGGTGTGTGTGTGTAGGACTGCAGCTGCAGGACGCCAACAGGACGTTGAGTATCCAGCGTGTCAGTGATTGACAGCTGTGTGTCTGTGTGTGTGTGTGTGTAGGACTGCAGCTGCAGGACGCCAACAGGACGTTGAGTATCCAGCGTGTCAGTGATTGACAGCTGTGTGTCTGTGTGTGTGTGTGTGTGTAGGACTGCAGCTGCAGGACGCCAACAGGACGTTGAGTATCCAGCGTGTCAGTGATTGACAGCTGTGTGTGTGTGTGTGTGTGTGTGTAGGACTGCAGCTGCAGGACGCCAACAGGACGTTGAGTATCCAGCGTGTCAGTGATTGACAGCTGTGTGTCTGTGTGTGTGTGTGTGTGTAGGACTGCAGCTGCAGGACGCCAACAGGACGTTGAGTATCCAGCGTGTCAGTGATTGACAGCTGTGTGTTGGTGTGTGTGTGTGTAGGACTGCAGCTGCAGGACGCCAACAGGACGTTGAGTATCCAGCGTGTCAGATGATTGACAGCTGGTGTCTGTGTGTTGTGTGTGGTAGGACTGCAGCTGCAGGACGCCAACAGGACGTGAGTATCCAGCGTGTCATGATTGACAGCTGTGTGTCTGTGTGTGTGTGTGTGTGTAGGACTGCAGCTGCAGGGACGCCAACAGGACGTGAGTATCCAGCGTGTCAGTGATTGACAGCTGTGTGTCTGTGTGTGTGTGTGTGTGTAGGACTGCAGCTGCAGGACGCCAACAGGACGTTTGAGTATCCAGCGTGTCAGTGATTGACAGCTTGGTTGTGGTGTGGTGTGTGGTAGGACTGCAGCTGCAGGACGCCAACAGGACGTTGAGTATCCCAGCGTGTCAGTGATTGACAGCTGTGTGTTGTGTGTGTGTGTGTGTGTAGGATCTCGCGGACTGCCAACAGGTCCGTTGAGTATCCAGCATGTCAGTATTGACAGCTCTTTCTCGTTGCTTTTGTGTGTACTGCAGTGCAGGACGCAACAGACGTTGGTATCCACTTCAGTGTGCAGCTGTGTCTGTTTCGGTTATGTGTATGGACTACTTGCTAGACTGTTCCACGGCACGTGAACAGCTTCAGTTACATGGCTGTGTGTTGATCGTTTGTTAGCTGCAGTGGCAGACCAACAGGACTTGGTCTATTCCGCGTTGTTCATTGGACAGCTGTTGGTCTTGTTTCTGGTTTGTCATGCAAAACAGCGTGAATCGATTAGGATTCGTGGTCTTGTGTTAGTAGTGTATATCTACAGTGCTCAGTTGAGAAAGATTAGTATTTAGTCGCTGGATAATGATCCGGTAATCAGTGCTACTGGAGTTCGATTTTGTTCTGTTATGATCACAGTTATTTGTTTCAGTTGTTCGGACTTCATGTCTGGTTGTTTTATGCGGGCTCCTCTTCTTCTCTGCTTCTGTTCATCAAAACATCTAAATCAACGTTTATTGGTCGTGTACATATTTTAGTAGATGTTATAGCGGGTCCAGCCAAATGCTTCATGTCATTGAGAAGAGATATTAGATATTTGATACGCAATAATAAATGATTCCGGTTATTATTCAGTGGGCTAGCTGGAGATAAATGATTCAGGTTATTATTCAGTGGGCTAGCTGGTGATAAATGATTCAGGTTATTATTCAGTGGGCTAGATGGTGATAACTGATTCAGGTTATTATTCAGTGGGCTAGCTGGTGATAAATGATTCAGGTTATTATTCAGTGGGCTAGCTGGAGATAAATGATTCAGGTTATTATTCAGTGGGCTAGCTGGTGATAAATGATTCAGTTATTATTCATGGGCTAGCTGGTGATAAATGATTCAGGTTATTATTCAGTGGGCTAGCTGGTGATAAATGATTCAGGTTATTGTTCAGTGGGCTAGCTGGTGATAAATGATTCCGGTTATTATTCAGTGGGCTAGCTGGTGATAAATGATTCCGGTTATTATTCAGTGGGCTAGCTGGTGATAAATGATTCAGGTTATTATTCAGTGGGCTAGCTGGTGATAAATGATTCAGGTTATTATTCAGTGGGCTAGCTGGTGATAAATGATTCAGGTTATTATTCAGTGGGCTAGCTGGTGATAAATGATTCAGGTTATTATTCAGTGGGCTAGCTGGTGATAAATGATTCAGATTATTATTCAGTGGGCTAGCTGGTGATAAATGATTGAATGAACTAAAGTGATATTTAACTGGTTGCTGCTGTCTGTGTCTTTAAACCCCATTACATTACTGACTGATTATAGCAACCTCTATAGCAACCTATGTTGTTGTTGTTGTTTATCCCAGGTTCCAGTGACAGGGCTAATGTTGTTGTTGTTGTTTATCCCAGGTTCCAGTGACAGGGCTAATGTTGTTGTTGTTTATCCCAGGTTCCAGTGACAGGGCTAATGTTGTTGTTTATCCCAGGTTCCAGTGACAGGGCTAATGTTGTTGTTGTTGTTTATCCCAGGTTCCAGTGATAGGGCTAATGTTGTTGTTGTTGTTTATCCCAGGTTCTAGTGACATGGCTAATGTTGTTGTTGTTAATCCCAGGTTCCAGTGACAGGGCTAATGTTGTTGTTGTTTATCCCAGGTTCTAGTGACAGGGCTAATGTTGTTGTTGTTTATCCCAGGTTCCAGTGACAGGGCTAATGTTGTTGTTGTTTATCCCAGGTTCTAGTGACAGGGCTAATGTTGTTGTTGTTGTTTATCCCAGGTTCCAGTGACAGGGCTAATGTTGTTGTTGTTGTTAATCCCAGGTTCCAGTGACAGGGCTAATGTTGTTGTTGTTTATCCCATGTTCCAGTGACAGGGCTAATGTTGTTGTTGTTGTTTATCCCAGGTTCCAGTGACAGGGCTAATGTTGTTGTTGTTTATCCCAGGTTCCAGTGACAGGGCTAATGTTGTTGTTGTTTATCCCAGGTTCCAGTGACAGGGCTAATGTTGTTGTTGTTGTTTATCCCAGGTTCCAGTGATAGGGCTAATGTTGTTGTTGTTGTTTATCCCAGGTTCCAGTGACAGGGCTAATGTTGTTGTTGTTGTTTATCCCATGTTCCAGTGACAGGGCTAATGTTGTTGTTGTTGTTTATCCCAGGTTCCAGTGACAGGGCTAATGTTGTTGTTGTTTATCCCAGGTTCCAGTGATAGGGCTAATGTTGTTGTTGTTGTTTATCCCAGGTTCCAGTGACAGTGCTAATGTTGTTGTTGTTGTTTATCCCAAGTTCCAGTGATAGGGCTAATGTTGTTGTTGTTGTTTATCCCAGGTTCCAGTGACAGGGCTAATGTTGTTGTTGTTTATCCCAGGTTCCAGTGACAAGGCTAATGTTGTTGTTGTTTATCCCAGGTTCCAGTGACAGGGCTAATGTTGTTGTTGTTGTTTATCCCAGGTTCCAGTGACAGGGCTAATGTTGTTGTTGTTTATCCCAGGTTCCAGTGACATGGCTAATATTGTTGTTGTTTATCCCAGGTTCCAGTGACAGGGCTAATGTTGTTGTTGTTTATCCCAGGTTCCAGTGACAGGGATAATGTTGTTGTTGTTTATCCCAGGTTCCAGTGACAGGGCTAATGTTGTTGTTGTTTATCCCAGGTTCCAGTGACAGGGCTAATGTTGTTGTTATTGTTTATCCCAGGTTCCAGTGACAGGGCTAATGTTGTTGTTGTTGTTTATCCCAGGTTCCAGTGACAGGGCTAATGTTGTTGTTGTTTATCCCAGGTTCCAGTGACAGGGCTAATGTTGTTGTTGTTAATCCCAGGTTCCAGTGACAGGGCTAATGTTGTTGTTGTTGTTTATCCCAGGTTCCAGTGACAGGGCTAATGTTGTTGTTGTTTATCCCAGGTTCCAGTGACAGGGCTAATGTTGTTGTTGTTTATCCCAGGTTCCAGTGACAGGGCTAATGTTGTTGTTATTGTTTATCCCAGGTTCCAGTGACAGGGCTAATGTTGTTGTTGTTGTTTATCCCAGGTTCCAGTGACAGGGCTAATGTTGTTGTTGTTTATCCCAGGTTCCAGTGACAGGGCTAATGTTGTTGTTGTTAATCCCAGGTTCCAGTGACAGGGCTAATGTTGTTGTTGTTGTTTATCCCAGGTTCCAGTGACAGGGCTAATGTTGTTGTTGTTTATCCCAGGTTCCAGTGACAGGGCTAATGTTGTTGTTGTTGTTTATCCCAGGTTCCAGTGACAGGGCTAATGTTGTTGTTGTTTATCCCAGGTTCCAGTGACATGGCTAATATTGTTGTTGTTTATCCCAGGTTCCAGTGGCAGGGCTAATGTTGTTGTTGTTTATCCCAGGTTCCAGTGACAGGGCTAATGTTGTTGTTGTTTATCCCAGGTTCCAGTGACAGGGCTAATGTTGTTGTTGTTTATCCCAGGTTCCAGTGACAGGGCTAATGTCGTTGTTGTTGTTTATCCCAGGTTCCAGTGACAGGGCTAATGTTGTTGTTGTTGTTTATCCCAGGTTCCAGTGACAGGGCTAATGTTGTTGTTGTTTATCCCAGGTTCCAGTGACAGGGCTAATGTTGTTGTTGTTGTTTATCCCAGGTTCCAGTGACAGGGCTAATGTTGTTGTTGTTGTTTATCCCAGGTTCCAGTGACAAGGCTAATGTTGTTGTTGTTTATCCCAGGTTCCAGTGACAGGGCTAATATTGTTGTTGTTTATCCCAGGTTCCAGTGACAGGGCTAATGTTGTTGTTTATCCCAGGTTCCAGTGACAGGGCTAATGTTGTTGTTGTTGTTTATCCCAGGTTCCAGTGATAGGGCTAATGTTGTTGTTGTTGTTTATCCCAGGTTCCAGTGACAGGTTAATGTTGTTGTTGTTGTTTATCCCAGGTTCCAGTGACAGGGCTAATGTTGTTGTTGTTTATCCCAGGTTCCAGTGACAGGGCTAATGTTGTTGTTGTTTATCCCAGGTTCCAGTGACAGGGCTAATGTTGTTGTTGTTGTTTATCCCAGGTTCCAGTGACAGGGCTAATGTTGTTGTTGTTGTTTATCCCAGGTTCCAGTGATAGGGCTAATGTTGTTGTTGTTTATCCCAGGTTCCAGTTACAGGGCTAATGTTGTTGTTGTTGTTTATCCCAGGTTCCAGTGACAGGGCTAATGTTGTTGTTGTTGTTGTTTATCCCAGGTTCCAGTGATAGGGCTAATATTGTTGTTGTTGTTTATCCCAGGTTCCAGTGACAAGGCTAATGTGGAGATCGTGATTCTGATCGGGACGGGTGTCATCGCTGTGTTCTTCTGGGCTCTACTCATCCTCATCTTCTGCAACGTCAAACGGGTCAGAACACACACACACACACACACTGTGAATTCCATATGCTTGTCTCTCTCTGTTCTAAGACATCATTGATCTTGTCCAATCAGAGTGACTGTGACACTGTGAACTCTGACCTGACCTCTCTAACGTCTCCCTCAGCTCTTTAGACACATGGCGAAAGGAGGCAAGGTGCAAATACCCCCAAAGTCAGCAACAGAGATGTTTGGTTCAACATGTAGATCAAGCAGAGATGTTTGTTACCTCTTTAGACATGCTGAAATGCTTACTTACAAGCCCTTAACCAGTTTAAAGAAAGAATACAAAAAAAATCACACAAAAAATACAATAGAAAATCATACGAAATAAAAGTATCAAATAATTAAAGAGCAGCAGTAAAAATAACAATATGTTGAATGGGTAGCAGTCTGGCAGTCTGGGGTCCAGACCCATTCAACATCAAACACCATCATCATCATCAGTAGCAGTCTGGGGTCCAGACCCATTCAACATCAAACACCATCATCATCATCAGTAGCAGTCTGGGGTCCAGACCCATTCAACATCAAACACCATCATCATCATCAGTAGCAGTCTGGGGTCCAGACCCATTCAACATCAAACACCATCATCATCATCAGTAGCAGTCTGGGGTCCAGACCCATTCAACATCAAACACCATCATCATCATCAGTAGCAGTCTGGGGTCCAGACCCATTCAACATCAAACACCATCATCATCATCAGTAGCAGTCTGGGGAAAATGTCAGTGAAGACACTTGCCAGTTGGTCAGTGCATGCTCTGAGTACACGTCCTGGTAATCCATCTGGCCCCACGGCCTTGTGAATGTTGACCTGCTTAAAGGTCTTACTCACATTGGCTACGGAGAGCGTGATCACACTGTCGTCCGGAACAGCTGACGCTCTCATGCATGTTTCAGTGTTACTTGCCTCGAAGCGAGCAGAGAAGTAATTTAGGTCGTCTGGTAGGCTCGCGTCACTGGGCAGCTCGCGGCTGTGCTTCCCTTTGTAGTCCGTAATAGGTTACAAGCCCTGCCACATCCGACGAGCGTCGGAGCCGGTGTAGTTCGATTCAATCTTAGTCCCGTATTGACTCTTTGCCTGTTTGATGGTCCGTCGGAGGGCATAGCGGGATTTCTTATAAGCGTCCGGGTTAGAGTCCCGCTCCTTGAAAGCGGCAGCTCTAGCCTTTAGCTCAGTGCGGTTTGTACCAACCTTGCTGAAGTTATATGGACTCATGTATTTTATCACCTCTCCTAGCTAACTGGGTGTTTGCTGAACAACTGTTCTATCTATCTATCTATCTATCTATCTATCTATCTATCTATCTATCTATCTATCTATCTATCTATCTATCTATCTATCTATCTATCTATCTATCGCTCACTCTCTCTCTCTCTCTCTCTCTCTCTCTCTCTCTCTCTCTCTCTCCTCTCCAGGTGAACCCAGCAGACATAAAGACAGGCTATCTGTCCATCATAATGGACCCAGGAGAGGTTCCTCTGGATGAGCAGTGTGAATATCTCCCCTACGACTCCTCCCAGTGGGAGATATCTATGGACAAACTACGACTCGGTAAGAAGAGGAGGGAGGGAGGGAGGGAGGGAGGGATAGACTACCAGACTGCTACTGATGATGATGATGGTGTTTGATACTGGTTCACTCTCTGCTCAGTTCTCTGTGACACACACAGTCCCGAAGGGTAGCATCTGGCCCCCTCCAGACTGATGGAAGATAACCCTGTTGTTTGTCCCTGTGGCCATTGGAATTAGAATCCTATTACATTCAAATTTTTTCATTTATACATTTACATTTGACTTATTAAATGAGCAGATGTTGCTGTCAAGAGGGACTTTAGGATCAGTGAACCAGACAGGCAGCTAAATCAAAATGTCTTTGCAATTACAATTAGAAAGACAGCTGGGGTTTCTCTCGTATGAGTCATCTGAGGGTCGATAGAGGCTCTCAAAGTACTCAATCTCTCTACTCTCTCTCGTCTCGCTCTCTCTCTCGAGCTCTCTCAATCTCTCTCTCCCTCTCTATACTCTATCTCTCTCTCTCCTCTCTCTCTCTCCCTCCCTCTCTCTCTCTCCCTCCCTCCCCTCTCCCTCCTCCCCCCCCCCCCCCCCCCCCCTCTCAGGGAGGGTGTTGGGTCATGGTGCGTTTGGGAAGGTCATCGAGGCCTCCATCTTTGGCATCAGCAAGAACAGCAGCCTGGACACTGTGGCGGTGAAGATGCTGAAAGGTGTGTGTGTGTGCATGTCTGCCTGCTTACGTGCACGTGTTTGTGTGTCATGTTCCATGTTCACTGTTGATGTCCTCACTTGTTTATCAAAACAGGAACAACTGTGTAAAGGTCCCCAAACAGAGGTAGATAACTAAATAAGTAAATGTGTGTGTTATGCGTGTGTGTTCTGACCTAGTCTCTCCCTGTCTCCTGTGTCCAGAGGGAGCGTGTGCCAGTGAGCACAAGGCTCTGATGTCAGAGCTGAAGATCCTGATCCACATTGGGAACCATCTTAACGTGGTCAACCTCCTGGGGGCATGCACCAAACCCAACGCCCCCCTCATGGTGGTGGTGGAGTACTGCAAGTATGGAAACCTGTCCAACTACCTGAGAACCAAGAGAGAGTTCTTCCTACCTTACAGGGTAAGACCTAACCCTGACCCCTAACCCCTAACCCCTAACCCCTAACCCTGACCCCTAAACCCTAACCCCTAACCCCTAACCTCTAACCCCTAACCTCTAACCCTAACCTCTAACCCCTAACCTCTAACCCTAACCTCTAAACCCTAACCCCTAACCTCACCAACTACCTGAGAGCCAAGAGAGTTCTTCCTACCTTACAGGGTAAGACCTAACCCTAACCTTTAACCCTAACCTCTGTCTGCAATGCGTGTTTTAAAGGCAATGTCCCGCGTTCACTGAGACCACATTCATGGTAAACGCTGCATATGTCGTCTAAATCGGAAAATTACCTTTAAATGGTGCAAAGTGAATGATTAAAATCCCTGTGTGTTCCTCAGGACCGCTCCCCGAAGACTCAGAGCCAGGTGAGACGCATGATAGAGGCGGGACAAGTGGAGCAGAGAGCCCGCCTCCCACCTTCCTCCTCCTCTATTGGCAGCCCCCAGAGTCAGTCACCCAGCAAGTCCAATCAGAAGAGCCACTCGCCTGCTGTGGAGAATAGTGAGTAGTGTGAATTGCTGTATTGGCCAAAATCCTGACTTCAGACTCACATAAAAAATGCATTAATGTCAATGGGATTTGGGGATTTTAAGTGCTGAAAGTTCAGTCTTGACCTTTTGACTGAAGAGCTCCATCTGAGCCTCAAGAAGGTAGAATTAAGCCTCCCGAGTGGCGCAGCGGTCTGGCCTCCCGAGTGGCGCAGCGGTCTGGCCTCCCGAGTGGCGCAGCGGTCTGGCCTCCCGAGTGGCGCAGCGGTCTGGCCTCCCGAGTGGCGCAGCGGTCTGGCCTCCCGAGTGGCGCAGCGGTCTGGCCTCCCGAGTGGCGCAGCGGTCTAAGGCACTGCATCGCAATGCTTGAGGCGTCACTACAGACCCGGGTTCGATCCCAGGCTGTGTCGTGACCGGGAGTCCCATAGGGCGGCGCACAATTGGCTCAGCGTCGTCCGGGCTTTACTTGGCTCATCGCGCTCTAGCGACTCCTTGTGGCGGGCTGGGCACCTGCAGGCTGACTAAGTTCGTCAGTTGAACGGTGTTTCCTCCTTCCTTCCTCCAACGGCTGGCTTCCGGGTTAAGCGGGTGGGTGTTAAGAAGTGCGGTTTGGCGGGTCATGTTTCGGAGGACGCATGACTCGACCTTCGCCTCTCCCGAGCCCGTTGGGGAGTTGCAGCGATGAGACAAGATCACAATTGGATATTACGAAATTGGGGAGAAAAAGGGGGTACAATACACCCCCAAAAAAGAATTCTGAATTAAAACAAGTTATACCAGAGTTAAATTCTCTCTCTCTCTCTCTCTCTCTCTCCCTCCCTCCCTCCCTCCCTCCCTCCAGTGGAGGACCTATGGAAGACTCCACTCACTATAGAAGATCTGATCTGCTATAGTTTCCAGGTGGCCAGAGGAATGGAGTTCCTGGCCTCACGAAAGGTATCTCCCCAGCAACCACACACCCCATCGCCCCAGAAGATTTCGCCCTAAAAACTAATCGCCCCAGAAACCACACACAGATGATAGAGAACAAGATGTATAATATATAATAATACATACCGGGCCAGTTTCCCAGAACCACATTAACCACACATGGTGTGGTATAAGGCTCTGGACTAAAGTAGTGCACTACAGCATATTGATCGCCCTAGAAACCCCAGAGATTCTAGAGACCAATCTGACAGGGGTGTGAGGAGGAGGAGGATGAGGAGGAGGAGGAGGGCTTGTTTCCCAGACACAGATTAAGCCTAAAAACATGTTGCGGAGTGCGACTGAGATGTCTTTCTTTTTAACAAGGACTGTAGGTACTGCCCAGGGGCTACTGATCTCTCTCACTACCCCTTTTGCTAGCATACTCTGGACTAAGGACCTGAGTTCTTGGTAAAAGCTTGGAGGTATGGGGCGATACCTTTCTCGAGACGGTGGCACTGTTCAAGTAGGGATGTTGTGTCGAACTGCATCGGTGTGCACAAAATCCTTGTCATGCTGGAAGAAAGAACTGCATTGGTGTGCACAAAGATCTGCATTGGTGTGCACAAAGATCTGCATTGGTGTGCACAAAGATCTGCATTGGTGTGCACAAAGATCTGCATTGGTGTGCACAAAGATCTGCATTGGTGTGCACAAAGTCCTCGTCATGCTGGAAGAAAACGCACTGCCATTTATGTAGCAGTTGGTCCACCTTCGTTTGTCGCTCTGGGTTGAGTCCTTCACAGTGTGGAACGTTTCCAGGAGCCTGTGGAACACAGCTTTCCCCTCCTTGGACGTTTCTTGCAACTTCGAGCACATCCTCCGACAGTTCCTGCAAAACAACCTGTGGTGACCGTAATTGTAGGTTATCAACTTGACATGCTTTTGCTAAGGGGCACCATTGTGGTGTAAGGGTGGGGGTTGCAAACGCGTACTGGAATCTGTCCATTGTGCACCCAGGCTACAGCATGTGCTACCTCCCACTCAGTCTCTGTATCTAGGCTCTCCACCAGAGCACAGTAGTCCATCTTACCAGGAGCCTCTGGAACATGTTTCAGGTGGTATCCATACTGGCTGTTGTCGGGTGAGTCGGGCCGTTGCTGGGCCAGGATTACATAGGAAGTCCAGCACTACATACCAACATGAGGGAATTGAAGTCCATTAGCAGCTTTTAAGGCAAGCCCTTCTAATCCTGCTGTGTTTCGTTATGGACCTGGGGGGGGGGGGGGGGGGGGGGGGATGCGACACAGGAAAACACACACACACACACACACACACACACACACACACACACACACACACACACACACACACACACACACTGCAATCCATTTACTGTCACACTGTCACTGACTGGTAGAAACAGAGGTAAATAGATAAGCAGCTTTGTTATAAAGCATTGTTCACGCTTGATGGGAAAAATAAAGAAGTCTCAGTCGCACTCCGCCACACTCTCCCACGCTGGATGGGTTGCCGACAACCCGCTCCTCATTACTCAAATAGCAAAACAGAAAGAGTCTCAGTTGCACTCCGCGACACATGCTCAACAGAGAACCCATGAATAGCCTAAATCTGGGATCCAGCCCACTGTGACTAGACTAGAGACTAAAATGTCACAATGTCACTCAATCACAATGAGATGTAGACACAAACTCACACATCTTTGCAGGTGTGTTGAAAATATTGAAAGAAAGGAATCTTTGTGTTGTGATAGTAACACTTCTTCTCTTCTTTGGCCTGTGTGCTCAGGCAGTAAGGAGCTCAGTATGTTAGAGGGGTGACAGATACACCCCTGTCTCAGGCAGTAAGGAGCTCAGTATGTTAGAGCGGTGACTGATACACCCCTGTCTCAGGCAGTAAGGAGCTCAGTATGTTAGAGGAGTGACTGATACACCCCTGTCTCAGGCAGTAAGGAGCTCAGTATGTTAGAGGGGTGACTGATACACCCCTGTCTCAGGCAGTAAGGAGCTCGGTATGTTAGAGTAGTGACTGATACACCCCTGTCTCAGGCAGTAAGGAGCTCAGTATGTTAGAGGGGTGACTGATACACCCCTGTCTCTGGCAGTAAGGAGCTCAGTATGTTAGAGGGGTGACTGATACACCCCTGTCTCTGGCAGTAAGGAGCTCAGTATGTTAGAGGGGTGACTGATACACCCCTGTCTCAGGCAGTAAGGAGCTCGGTATGTTAGAGTAGTGACTGATACACCCCTGTCTCAGGCAGTAAGGAGCTCAGTATGTTAGAGGGGTGACTGATACACCCCTGTCTCTGGCAGTAAGGAGCTCAGTATGTTAGAGGGGTGACTGATACACCCCTGTCTCTGGCAGTAAGGAGCTCAGTATGTTAGAGGGGTGACTGATACACCCCTGTCTCTGGCAGTAAGGAGCTCAGTATGTTAGAGTAGTGACTGATACACCCCTGTCTCTGGCAGTAAGGAGCTCAGTATGTTAGAGGAGTGACTGATACACCCCTGTCTCTGGCAGTAAGGAGCTCAGTATGTTAGAGGAGTGACTGATACACCCCTGTCTCTGGCAGTAAGGAGCTCAGTATGTTAGAGGGGTGACTGATACACCCCTGTCTCTGGCAGTAAGGAGCTCAGTATGTTAGAGGGGTGACTGATACACCCCTGTCTCAGGCAGTAAGGAGCTCAGTATGTTAGAGGGGTGACTGATACACCCCTGTCTCTGGCAGCAAGGAGCTCAGTATGTTAGAGGGGTGACTGATACACCCCTGTCTCAGGCAGTAAGGAGCTCAGTATGTTAGAGGGGTGACTGATACACCCCTGTCTCTGGCAGTAAGGAGCTCAGTATGTTAGAGCGGTGACTGATACACCCCTGTCTCTGGCAGTAAGGAGCTCAGTATGTTAGAGGAGTGACTGATACACCCCTGTCTCTGGCAGTAAGGAGCTCAGTATGTTAGAGGAGTGACTGATACACCCCTGTCTCAGGCAGTAAGGAGCTCAGTATGTTAGAGGAGTGACTGATACACCCCTGTCTCAGGCAGTAAGGAGCTCAGTATGTTAGAGGGGTGACTGATACACCCCTGTCTCTGGCAGTAAGGAGCTCAGTATGTTAGAGGGGTGACTGATACACCCCTGTCTCTGGCAGTAAGGAGCTCAGTATGTTAGAGGGGTGACTGATACACCCCTGTTCCGGCAGTAAGGAGCTCAGTATGTTAGAGTAGTGACTGATACACCCCTGTCTCAGGCAGTAAGGAGCTCAGTATGTTAGAGGGGTGACTGATACACCCCTGTCTCTGGCAGTAAGGAGCTCAGTATGTTAGAGGGGTGACTGATACACCCCTGTCTCAGGCAGAAGGAGCTCAGTATGTTAAGGGGTGACTGATACACCCCTGTCTCTGGCAGTAAGGAGCTCAGTATGTTAGAGAGTGACTTACCCCTGCCTCTGGACAGTAGGGCCTCAGATGTTGAGGTGTGACTGATACACCCTGTCTCAGGCAGTAAAGGAGTCAGTATGTTAGAGGAGTGACTGAATACACCCTGTCTCAGGCAGTAAGGAGCTCAGTATGTTAGAGGGGTGACTGATACACCCCTGTCTCTGGCAGTAAGGAGCTCAGTATGTTAGAGGGGTGACTGATACACCCCTGTCTCTGGCAGTAAGGAGCTCAGTATGTTAGAGGGGTGACTGATACACCCCTGTCTCTGGCAGTAAGGAGCTCAGTATGTTAGAGGGGTGACTGATACACCCCTGTCTCTGGCAGTAAGGAGCTCAGTATGTTAGAGGGGTTGACTGATACACCCCTGTCTCTGGCAGCAAGGAGCTCAGTATGTTAGAGGAGTGACTGATACACCCCTGTCTCTGGCAGCAAGGAGCTCAGTATGTTAGAGGGGTGACTGATACACCCCTGTCTCTGGCAGTAAGGAGCTCAGTATCATCCTCAATGATGCCTTTGACCTCTTGACCCTTCTGTGACCCCTCAGTGACCCCTCTGTGATGTTGTCATCTCCTCTGTAGGAGCTCAACAGAGACTTGGCAGCCCGGAACATTAACCTGACACACACGCACTCACAGGCAGAAACACACACACACAGAAAAACACACACGCACCTATCCAAAGAGCTTTGATGTATCTCTACCTATGCAAGCTATCCACAGAAACTTGGTGAACCATATCATATCAGCAATCAGAGACTTGGTGAACCATATCATATCAGCAATCAGAGACTTGGTGAACCATATCATATCAGCAATCAGAGACTTGGTGAACCATATCATATCAGCAATCAGAGACTTGGTGAACCACATCATATCATCAATCAGAGACTTGGTAAACCATATCATATCAGCAATCAGAGACTTGGTGAACCATATATCAGCAATCAGAGACTTGGTGAACCATATCATATCAGCAATCAGAGACTTGGTGAACCATATCATATCAACAATCAGAGACTTGGTGAACCACATCATATCAGCAATCAGAGACTTGGTGAACCATATCATATCAGCAATCAGAGACTTGGTGAACCATATCATATCAGCAATCAGAGACTTGGTGAACCATATCATATCAGCAATCAGAGACTTGGTGAACCATATCATATCAGCAATCAGAGACTTGGTGAACCACATCATATCAGCAATCAGAGACTTGGTGAACCATATCATATCAGCAATCAGAGACTTGGTGAACCATATCATATCAGCAATCCCTCAAGGTCAAGACTGATCTCACACACACACACACACACATACACACATTTGAAAGAGTGTGTGTGTTTGTCTGCAGTGTTTTAAGGTTGTGTGTGTGTGTGTGTGTGTGTGTGTGTGTGTGTGTGTGTGTGTGTGTGTGTGTGTGTGTGTGTGTGTGTTTCTGCAGTGTATCCACAGGGACCTGGCAGCGAGGAACATTCTACTGTCAGAGAACAATGTGGTGAAGATCTGTGACTTCGGCCTGGCTAGAGACATCTACAAAGACCCCGACTACGTCAGGAAAGGCAACGTAAGACACACACACACACACACACCTTGGGGAAAAACTTGGGGTAGCTATATCAGGGCCTCTGTTACCGGAGGAGCTTTAGAAATGGACATTTCCAGGAGTTGTGATTGTCTAGGTTGTCTAGGGATCAGCCAGTACACTCTTTAAAAAAAAAGGTGCTATCTAGAACCTAAAAGGGTTCTTTGGATGTCCCCATAAGAGAACCCTTTGAAGAAACATTTTTGGATCCAGGTAGAAAGAACCCTTTTGAGTTCCATGTAGAACCCTTTCCACAGAGGGTTCTAGACAGAACACAAAAGGGTTCTTCCTGGAACCAAAAAGAGTTCTAACTGGAACCAAAAAGGGTTCTACTGTGGGGACAGCTGAAGAATCCTTCTGGAACCCTTTTTTGTAAGAGCGTATGGCTGATTCTATTCTACCAACCCTTCTCTTTCTCTCTCTCTCTCCTCTCTCCCTCCTCTCTCCCTCTCTCCTCTCTCTCTCCCTTTCTCTCCTCTCTCTCTCCTCTCTCCCCCTCTCTCCCTCCCTCTCTATCTCTCTCTCTCTCTCTCTCTCTCTCTGCAGGCCCGTCTGCCACTGAAGTGGATGGCTCCAGAGAGTATCTTTGACAAGGTCTACACCAGCCAGTCTGACGTCTGGTCCTTTGGTGTTCTACTCTGGGAGATCTTCTCTCTGGGTGAGACATTTAGGTCTTTTAGCAGACTTACAGTCTCCCAGTGAGAAACACTGTTCTTCCCTAGGTGTATGATAGTTAGCCAGCCAGCCATCCACCCTGACAGACAGACAGACCTTCTCTCTGATAACACCAGTGTTCCTCTCCTCAGGTGCGTCTCCGTACCCAGGTGTACAGATCGATGAGGACTTCTGTAAACGTCTGAAAGACGGAACCAGGATGAGAGCTCCAGAAACAGCTTCCCCTGAGATGTGAGTCACCACAGATCCTATAATAATTCACAAGATATATGTAGTTCTATGTGAGTCACCACAGATCCTATAATAATTCACAAGATATATGTAGTTCTATGTGAGTCACCACAGATCCTATAATAATTCACAAGATATATGTAGTTCTATGTGAGTCACTTACTCCTTACTTACCTTACATACATTTCATGCAAACCCAAGCACACAACATAATTAGTAATGTAAGGTGCTGTGTGCTCTGTGTCCTGTAGTGGATATAACTACCAGTGGCCGTGTGGAGTGCACTCTAACACTCTTTAACCCTACTGTGTGTCTCTGTTGCCCCCTGCTGGTAGTTATGGGATCCTGCTGGCCTGTAGGATATCTCTGCTGGTAGTTATGGGATCCTGCTGGCCTGTAGGATATCTCTGCTGGTAGTTATGGGATCCTGCTGGCCTGTAGGATATCTCTGCTGGTAGTTATGGGATCCTGCTGGCCTGTAGGATATCTCTGCTGGTAGTTATGGGATCCTGCTGGCCTGTGGGATATCTCTGCTGGTAGTTATGGGATCCTGCTGGCCTGTAGGATATCTCTGCTGGTAGTTATGGGATCCTGCTGGCCTGTAGGATATCTCTGCTGGTAGTTATAGGATCCTGCTGGCCTGTAGGACATCTCTGCTGGTAGTTATGGGATCCTGCTGGCCTGTAGGACATCTCTGCTGGTAGTTATGGGATCCTGCTGGCCTGTAGGATATCTCTGCTGGTAGTTATGGGATCCTGCTGGCCTGTAGGACATCTATGCTGGTAGTTATGGGATCCTGCTGGCCTGTAGGATATCTCTGCTGGTAGTTATGGGATCCTGCTGGCCTGTAGGATATCTCTGCTGGTAGTTATGGGATCCTGCTGGCCTGTAGGATATCTCTGCTGGTAGTTATGGGATCCTGCTGGCCTGTAGGATATCTCTGCTGGTAGTTATGGGATCCTGCTGGCCTGTAGGATATCTCTGCTGGTAGTTATGGGATCCTGCTGGCCTGTAGGATATCTCTGCTGGTAGTTATGGGATCCTGCTGGCCCGTAGGACATCTCTGCTGGTAGTTATGGGATCCTGCTGGCCTGTAGGATATCTCTTCTGGTAGTTATGGGATCCTGCTGGCCTGTAGGATATCTCTGCTTGTAGTTATGGATCTGCTGCCTGTGGAATCTCTTGGGTCTGGCCTGTAGGATATCTCTGCTGGTAGTTATGGGATCCTGCTGGCCTGTAGGATATCTCTGCTGGTAGTTATGGGATCCTGCTGGCCTGTAGGATATCTCTGCTGGTAGTTATGGGATCCTGCTGGCCTGTGGGATATATCTGCTGGTAGTTATGGGATCCTGCTGGCCTGTAGGATATCTCTGCTGGTAGTTATGGGATCCTGCTGGCCTGTAGGATATCTCTGCTGGTAGTTATGGGATTCTGCTGGCCTGTAGGATATCTCTGCTGGTAGTTATGGGATCCTGCTGGCCTGTAGGATATCTCTGCTGGTAGTTATGGGATCCTGCTGGCCTGTAGGATATCTCTGCTGGTAGTTATGGGATCCTGATGGCCTGTGGGATATCTCTGCTGGTAGTTATGGGATCCTGCTGGCCTTTGGGATTTCTCTGCTGGTAGTTATGGGATCCTGATGGCCTGTAGGATATCTCTGCTGGTAGTTATGGGATCCTGCTGGCCTGTAGGACATGTCTTTGCTGTAACATGTTGCTGTGTGTCTGTCTGTCTCTCTTAATAGCTATGGTATAATGCTGGCCTGCTGGCAGGGCGAGCCCCGGGAGAGACCTACCTTCCAAGCCCTGGTAGATATCCTGGGAGACCTACTACAGGACAGCAGCCTTCCAGTAAGACACTGAGAGCGTTTAACCTATCCAGTCCTGTTCCATCTGTCAACCTATCCAGTCATGTTCCATTTGTCAACCTATCCAGTCCTATTCCATCTGTCAACCTATCAAGTCCTGTTCCATCTGTCAACCTATCCAGTCCTGTTCCATCTGTCAACCTATCCAGTCATGTTCCATCTGTCAACCTATCCAGTCCTGTTCCATCTGTCAACCTATCCAGTCCTGTTCCATCTGTCAACCTATCCAGTCCTGTTCCATCTGTCAACCTATCCAGTCATGTTCCATCTGTCAACCTATCCAGTCCTGTTCCATCTGTCAACCTATCCAGTCATGTTCCATCTGTCAACCTATCCAGTCATGTTCCATCTGTCAACCTATCCAGTCCTGTTCCATCTGTCAACCTATCCAGTCCTGTTCCATCTGTCAACCTATCCAGTCCTGTTCCATCTGTCAACCTATCCAGTCATGTTCCATCTGTCAACACTGAAGTCATAGCGGCCATTTCTGGAAGAATGGGGGATACTGACAGAAATGGAACCAGGCCCATTTCTGGAAGAGTGGGGGATACTGACAGAAATGGAACCAGGCCCGTGTGTTGTTTAAAATGGATTATAAACCGGGGAGTTTGAGTCCTGGATGCTGATTGACTGAAAGCCATGGTATATCAGACATTATATACTGGGTGGTTCGAGCCCTGAATGCTGATTGGCTGACAGCCGTGGTACATCAGACGTATACCACGGGTATGACAAAACATTTATTTTTACTGCTCTAATTACATTGGTAACCAGTTTATAATAGCAATAAGGCACCTGGGGGGTTTGTGGTGTATGGCCAATCAGTGGTGGAAAAAGGACTCAATTGTCATACTTGAGTAAAAGTAAAGATACTTTAATAGAAAATGACTAAAGTAAAAGTGAATGTCACCCAGTAAAATACTACTTGAGTAAAAGTCTAAAAGTATTTTGTTTTAAATATACTTAAGTATCAAAAGCAAATGGAATTGCTAAAATATACTTAAGTATCAAAAGTTAAAGTAAAAGTATAAATCATTTCAAATTCCTTATATAAAGCAAACCAGACGGCACCATGTACATTTTTTTTTTAAATTCACGGATAGCCAGGGGCACACTCCAACATAACGGACAAAGGATTTGTGTTTACTGAGTCCGCCAGATCAGAGGCAGTAGGGGATGACCAGGGATGTTCTCTTGATAAGTGTGTGAATTGGACCATTCCTGCTAAGCATTCAAAATGTAACGAGTACTTTTGGGTGTCAGGGAAAATATATGGAGTAAAAAGTACATTATTTTCTTTAGGAATGTAGTGAAGTAAAAGTTAGCAAAAATATAAACAGTAAAGTACAGATACCCCAAAAAAACGACTTAAGTTACTTTAAAGTGTTTTTACTTAAGGACTTTACACCACTGTGGCCAATATACCACGGCTAAGGGCTGTTCTTAGGCCAGAGGGGGTGTGGTATAGGGCCAATATACCACGGCTAAGGGCTGTTCTTAGGCCAGAGGGGGTGAGGTATATGGCCAATATACCACGGCTAAGGGCTGTTCTTAGGCCAGAGGGGGTGTGGTATATGGCCAATATACCACGGCTAAGGGCTGTTCTTAGGCCAGAGGGGGTGAGGTATATGGCCAATATACCACGGCTAAGGGCTGTTCTTAGGCCAGAGGGGGTGAGGTATATGGCCAATATACCATGGCTAAGGGCTGTTCTTAGGCCAGAGGGGGTGAGGTATATGGCCAATATACCACGGCTAAGGGCTGTTCTTAGGCCAGAGGGGGTGAGGTATATGGCCAATATACCACGGCTAAGGGCTGTTCTTAGGCCAGAGGGAGTGAGGTATATGGCCAATATACCACGGCTAAGGGCTGTTCTTAGGCCAGAGGGAGTGAGGTATATGGCCAATATACCACGGCTAAGGGCTGTTCTTAGGCCAGAGGGGGGGAGGTATATGGCCATATACCACGGCTAAGGGCTGTTCTTAGGCCAGAGGGGGTGAGGTATATGGCCAATATACCACGGCTAAGGGCTGTGTCCAGGCATTCCGCGATGCGTCGTACCTAAGAACAGCCCTTAGCCGTGGTATATTGGCCATATACCTCACCCCCTCGGGCCTTATTGCTTAAACAAGATATGTGTGTTACATGTCTGTATCGCACGTTCTGTAGGATGGTAATAAACTAACATATATTATTTTCTGTAGGATGGGAAGGACTAACATTAGTATTTTTCTGTAGGATGGTAAGGACTAACATATAGTATTTTCTGTAGGATGGTAAGGACTAACATATAGTATTTTCTGTAGGATGGTAAGAACTAACATATATTATTTCGTAGGATGGTAAGGACTAACATATAGTATTTTTGTATGATGGTCAACTAAAAATATCTTATTTTCTGTAGAGGTAAGAACTAACATATATTATTTTCTGTAGGATGGTAAGGACTAAACTATATTATTTTCTGTAGGATGGTAAGGACTAACTGATATTATTTCTGTAGGATGGTAAGGAATAACATATATTATTTTCTGTAGGAGGTAAGAACTAAATATATTATTTTCTGTAGATGGTAGAAACTAAAAATATATTATTTTCTGTATGATGGTAAGAACTAACATATATTATTTTTTTGTAGGATGGTAAGAACTAACATATATTATTTTTTGTAGGATGGTAAGGACCAAAAATTTAATTTTCTGAGGATGGTAAGGATAAAAAATTATTTTCTGTTGAGGTAAACAAACATATATTATTTCTGTAGGTGAAGGACAACAAAATTTTTTTTCTGTGGAGGGTTTTAAAAACAACAAAATTTTTTTTCTTGGATGTAAGGAAAACATATATTATTTTCTGTAGATGTAAGGGGACTAAATATATTTTTTCTGTAGGATGGAAGGACTAACGTATTTTTTTTCTGTAGGGGGAAGGGACAAAAATTTTATTTTCGTGGAGGGGAAAGGGCTAACGTTTTATTTTCGAGGGGAAAACAAACCATTATTTTCTGGGAGGAAAGGGGACAAAAATTATTTTTTTTCTGTAGGATGGTAGGACTAAATATTTTTTTTCTGAGGATGGTAAGGACTAACTATATATTTTCTTAGGATGGTAAGGACTAACATATATTTTTTCTGTAGGAGGTAGATAACAGGCTATTTATTTCAGATTGTTACATGTCTGTATCGCATTCTGTAGGATGGTAAAACTAACATATATTATTTCTGTAGGATGGTAAGGACTAACATATAGTATTTTCTGTAGGATGGTAAGGACTAACATATATATTTTCTGTAGGATGGTAAGGACTAACATATAGTATTTCTGTAGGATGGTAAGACTAACATATATTATTTTCTGTAGGATGGTAAGGACTAACAATAGTATTTTCTGAGATTGGTAAGAACTAACATATATTATTTTCTGTAGGATGGTAAGAACTAACATATATTATTTTCTGTAGGATGGTAAGGACTAACAT